GGTACCTGACAGCAAAGCAGTAGTTCAGGCACAAATCAAAGTGAGGGATCCTGTGTTAGGTGAGCCCAGCTGCCCAGGCAGCGACAGCCATCATGAGAAAGAGAGCAGGGTGCGTGGCTGAAAATAGAATTTGTTCACCACTCCCTCATCCAGGGCAAACAAAGCCTAGCTGGGGAGAGACCAAACCCCTTTTTGGATTTTTGTCCTGTGTTTATATGCTAAATCTTCGACATTAAGCATTTCTAGTCTGTTTCTTATCAATGCTGCTTTCAGAGAAAAGGAGGAAACTGGGTGCAAAAGCATAGGAAAGAAAGATGTTTCCTCAACATCTCCTGCAAGTTGGAGACTGCTGACAAATCTGAAGCATCACATTTAAGCAGCATCTCTTAATCATTTAGCCTGGGGGGGAGGTCAATGGCTGTGGTAATGATGTGGTACCAGCAGTGCTACAAAGTGATGGGCTGCCATTAGATTATCTTCTCTCTTCCTGTGCCCATCTGTTCTGGCAACCCTCAACTACCTGAGAAGAATTTTAAAACACCCTAGTTTTGGGTACTGCAACTTAGCGAGCACAGACATTTTTCTAAGCTAAAAAAGGAAATGTTCTTTTTTTTTTCAAGCTGTTGCATCTTGGTAAAGAAATACTGGATATTATATATGCTTGTCAGGTGGATATTAATGAGCAAGATGTGATGGTGTAAAATAGCTCCTGGAAATGACAGAGATTCTGCACTTCTCCAAGTCAGTGGGAATTTTGATGATGAGTTTTGACAGGCACTGGATTAGGCCTAAAACATTCCCAACTTTTTGGCCATTGACAATTTTTTGACAGTTTTATAACTGGTAGAGACTTCCTACCACAATACAAATACGACAACACTGTGAAGACTTCCCCCAGGGAGACGTCTTTGCTTTTAGCTGGGTACCTTGTTACACCCCAAGGGAAATCAAACAGTGTAGGGGAAAAGAACTTGATATCTGTAAAGTTGCTTAGCTTTTTCACTGCTCTATTGGATATTTGTATTTTGTTATCTCTGGAGACAATCTACTATTTGGGAAAAGAATGAAAACAACCCTCCTAAAATAGAGTTTTACAGTTTAATGATCCCTGCACTGAAATATTACATTATACACTTAGGCTGCAGACAAGATGGAGAGGGAGGGTGGAACTACCATGAGGTCAGAGCTCCATGACCCCATATTCTTTGCCAAATCAGTCATCTCAGTCTTCTTTTCATAAGGTGATGGTGACACCTCACAGAGCTGTTATGATAATTTGTTTATATAACAAAAGTACATGGCTCGAGGGATAAAGATTTTTGTACCTGTATAATTTCCAACATTCCCAGGTTGCCTTTTGGTGTGGGATTGCAGAACATCTGCTCTATTTAGTCCTCCTAGTGTTACTGTTAATGTTTTGGCAAAGGCACCTGAAACATAGCGTAGATGCATAAGTACATAATATCAAAAGTCATGAGGAGTGTATTCAGGTCCTGTTTGATTTATTGCATGTGACATTGCAAAGTGACATTGCAAGCACAAAAGATAAACTAATACAATGTTTAGCTTGATGTGGCTTAATTTGCACAAAAATAGGAAGGTTCAGAATTAAGTGTTTCTTAGCTTCTTTAGGACCTCTCTCAGGCTGACCTGCAGTAAAAAGGGAGATGGGATCAATAACTGCTTATTAGGCCAAAGGAACTGCCAGGCTGCAGTGAGACCCAGAAGCTGGGCTACCCTGAGCACTTTCCACGTGGCAGATAAGAGGTGTAAGGAAAAGCAGCAGTGTATGAACAGTCAGCAACAATGCTGGGAGCAGGGGAGGGGCAAGCTGGAACCAGCAGTTTCAAGTGGAGAGCCTCAAGGGATTATTATGTCCATCCGTGCTGACCTGAAGATGAAAATCCCACACGTTTGCAGTGTCTACGTGGGCTTTGCTGTTCCTCCCACCCAGTCCCTAGTTCCTACTCATGTATCTGTTTTCCAGGGTTGTTTCTGAGGCAAACTGAAGGCCAGTTTCCTTGCACGTGAGTGGAGCAGTGGAACAGGCTTGCCTGCGTTCCCTCTTTTGCCTTCTGTTCCCAAATGGTGATTCCCTATGCAGGCAAAGAGCAGGGATGATAACTGCAAGGACAAAGCTACACTGCATTTCCACTGTGCTCCTCCTTGCACCTGTGTGCGGAGCAATGGATGGCTCGCACAGGGCACAGCTCCTGCTGCAATGCTCTGGCTGGGAAGATGTTTGAGTTGCACAGTTTGACCCAGGACTGAGATGAAGGATGTTTGGGTATTATTGCCCTGGGTAACCTTGAATTAGTCACCTCATCTGCACATCTCAGTGTTCAGGTGAGTGGGATGGCACCGATGGCTCTGCACATCCTGGCACATCGTTTCACATCTCCCCCGGCCATTGGCTCTAAAATGGGGACCAGGATATGGGCTCACAGAGGGCAAGTTGTGACAGCTGTGCTGTGCTGGTATTGTTGGGAATGGCAGGGAGCACTTCCCAGCCTCCTATGGTTGGAGGAGCAAACTCCCAAACCAACCCAGTGATTCAGACCTTGATGGCAGCAGCACACTACATGGGGTAAGAAGAGAAGCCCAGGGAGGAAGCAGGAGTTTAAAGGACTACAGTAGATGAGTGTATTTAAATCCTTTTAACGAGGATCCAAAAGAGTTGGCTTGGCACAGATGAGTTTGAAAATTAGGTATACACCAAGAACTTGCAAGTTTCAGTCCCTCCAAACAAATGTGAAAGGCTTACAAAACTTAAAAATCCATCTTTGACACAACTGCTGAAAATGTCTTTTAAAGAGAAGCCCTTATGAGAGCTTCCAAAACAAAGAGAAAGGCAGCCCAGAGTGGTATCCTTGTTACCAGCACCAGCAGATGAATGAGAGGCAGGAGAGGGTAGTCAGTTGTTTGAAGGGAATGAAATCTTTCACTTTCTGACCACACAGATTAGACAGAAGAAGAGTTGGCTATTCCAGGTATCTTGTAGCATTAAAGAGCAACCATCAAAGGGAAACTGTCTGCCTTGTGGGATAATCGTTGGGCAAGCAAGAGGATGCAGCAGATAAAGGATGATGCTTACCCAGAGGGGCTGAGCCACAAAGAACAAAGATTAGTACTGGGGATAGCCTCACCTATAGGGAAAATGAAATGTTAACAAGGGGGAAAAGCAGTGCAAAAACCTCAGGAAATCTGGGTTCCTCAAGTGTGTTCTCGCAGCAGTATGCACTGCCTTAAATTTCTTACTGAAGTTTTGCTGTTGTGATCAAGTTCTGATTTTGTAGTTTATAGAAGAGGCATTTGCAGCTCAAGTTCTGCAGTACTTACATAGGCAAAATTCCCAGTGTTTTAAGGGGATTTTTCCATGGGTAGGTATGGGCTCTTAAGTCTTACTTTTGACTGGGTGAGGACTTGGAGTCTGCACAATTGCCATACCGTAAGTATTAATAGATACTTCCTAAGAGGAAAGTTATTTGAATTTAAGATTGCAATTTAGTTTCTCTAAGCTCCACATAATCTATTTACTTACAGTACGGCTTTCATTCTGCATTTACTAATCTCCAGCTGTAAAGTTTCAAAATGCCACACAACATACAACTTGTGCATACTGATGGAAATGGCTCTGGAAGTCATGCCATGCTGCATGGAATGCATAAATGTATGTTTAGTGACATTGCAAAGCCAGGACTTGGTCCTGGGAGTGTTCAGACCGCTCCCAACTCTGGCCCATAATGGAGTCCCATGAGCTGGATCCTCTCTTCTGAATGATGGAGTTGTATTTCTTGCCTTCCCTCAGGGTGGTGGTTTCAGATCAGTGGATGGCCCTGTGAGGATGCTCCACAAAATAACCTTGCTCTATTCAGCTCAGTGCCAAAAAAGAAAGGGTCCTACCCAACCAAGTCACAGGTATGTGCTGTCACTTCTCAGCCTCTACCAGCTCCTGAGCTCCATCAAACCTCACCCCAGAGCCAAATTAACTGGTCACCTTGTAGAAAATTGAGGAAAAAAACCTCCAAAGCTTTGGTAAGTTTTCCTGTGACAGTGAGCTGAACAGAAGCAAGGCAGCTGTCACTAGCACCTGACTGGTATGGGGGGCGCTGAGGCTAAGAGAGGTGGGATGTGAAATGTTTGTGAAATGGGGACGCCCCGGGGCACTCTGCAGCCCAGATAGTCCAGACCTGTTTCCCAACACTGAACACTGTGCTGATCAGAGGACTGAGGGCTGCACCCCTCTTACCCAGACACTGACAGGACTAGCCCCACGTAAGCCTCCTCCCCTCCCCTCTGACTCAACCCTGATGCTATGCTCAGCTTTTCACCTCTCCTTCCCAAGGCAACTCGGTTCACTTTTCCTCACTCCCCCGTCGCTGACTGGCTGCTCAATATTGCTCCACACGCCCAAACGGCAGCACAGGCTCCCCCTGGCACACCTGGGAAATGTGTCCACACCCGCCTGAGTTTGGGATACAGCCTACCCTTCCTTCTCCCACCATGATTTCTGGAGCATTATCCCAAGCTCAAGCACCCTGTGTGTATCTCTGTCTGTGAAGACTGAAAGCTTTGGAGTACATGTGGAGATTGTGGGAAGGTGGTCAGGGCTCAGGGTGCTCTGCCAAGCACTGCAGTTCAGGGAGGTATGGGTGAGTTATCTCCCAGTAAAGTATCCGAGATTTTAATTAAAACTGGTTTATAAGTGCGGGCACAAGGCCATGCAGGGAGATTATGTGCCATTACACCTTGCCCTAAGGATGTGCTCACTTGGTCTCCACAATCCTGGAGATTCCTGCACTGTCGAGGCTCTGCCACCAGAGCTGCAGCCATGGTCAGCCAGTAGCAGTGTTGAAGATGCACAGCTTTGCAGGTGATGCTTTATTTACTCTGACTTTTACATTCATCATACAAAATTAATAATTGACTCCTAATAGTTGAGATTTGTAGCACTTCACTAGTTGTTTTGAAGAGTCAGGAGGTACCATTTTGCCCAGAAGTGGATTCTGAATTGAATTTTATTTTAAAACTTTCCCTTTCTGCAGCAAATACCAGCATTTCTGTGCCTTGTCCCAAAGGTGCGCGAAGAATGCAAAGAACTTTGACATCTTCTATGGAAGTGCAAACTGAACTTCCGAAATTCTCTTTTGCCTTGCTTACAGGTTTTAAATGTTTAAAAACCTTTTAAACCAAGGCTGGGAGTTTTGATTTGAGGAAGGGGTAGAAGACAACGCTTAACTACATTTAGCTCTAAAGCATGTCTTAAATTTTTACAGAGACCTTTCAAACTGTAAAACAGGACAAAATAACTCAGATTTGGAGTTCCTTTTCCCTCAGGGTGCCTGAAAAGTGCACAACACAAATCTCATCCTGAACAAAAGTTGCTTGAAGTGCCTCCTATCTGAGAAATGCATAAGAAAACAACTGCTATAAGAAGTGCCACACGGGATTCTTCAACTGCTGATCCATTTCTTCAAGCTGCCTTGGGGAAAAAAAAGGGAAAACGTTAATTAGGTAAGAAAACTCAGCTCTCCTCCCAGTGAGTGACGAAGAGACTCATCCCCACCGGGTCCTGGCAGAGCAGGCAGCTGCCGGTGCCGCTCTGCCTGGGCTGCTTTGGGATTTTAAAGCCTTTTGGATGGAGCCTGCGGGGAGCGGTTGCCGAACCAGGGTGTGCGAAGCCGTGGCTCGGACTTCCCCCGCCCGCTCCGTCCAGCTCCAGCGACGGCTGTTCTTGACTAAAACCTGCGACTTCGGCTTTCGCCAGCAATGAAAAAAGAAAGTGTCATGTTGGAAGGAGTGGAGCGGGTGGGAGCAGAGGAGGGCGGGCTTCATCTATGGAGCACGCCCCTTTTAAACTGAGAGTCGCGGCAGCTCTCGTCCACCAGCCCGACGGGGGGAGAGGCGGAAAGCGAGGGAGAGCAGGCGGGCGGGCGGGCGGCTCCCCCGTCCCGGCCCGTCGGTCCCGACCCCGGCCCGTCCGCCCCCGCGCACCATGCGCGGCCCCCGGCGCCCCGCGCGCCGCCGGCCCGCCCGCCCCTAACGCCGCCCGGCTCCTGCGCCTTCCCGCGGCAGCGCTCCGGGGGCCGGGAGGGGGGCCACAAGAAAGGAGAAGAGAAAAAAAAAAATTAAAAGAGGGAAAGGGAGGAAAAAGGAGGAGAAGAAGCGGAGGCGGGGAAAGCTGCTCCTCCGAGGACAGCGCGCAGCACCATGCAGCTGGCGCCGCTGGCGCTGGCACTCACCACGCTCTTCATCGACGGCTTGAGGACGGGAGCGAGGAGGCAGAAGCTGCACCCCAGGCAAGGTAAGGGGGTGCTCGGGGAGGGACGCGGGGAGTGCTGCGCTGCCGCCCCCCGGGGCCGCGGGGCTCGGCCACTTCACTCAGCGTCTGTCCCCTCGCAGCCCAGCTGCTGGAGAAGCTCAGCGAGTACGAGATCGTGACTCCTACCCGAGTGAATGAGTTCGGTGAGCCCTTCCCCACCGATATCCACTTCAGGCGGCGCCGGCGGAGCACCAGTGCTGCCCCCGACGCCTGGACGGCGGCCGTCGCCGACTCCCCGAAGGCACACTACAGGCTGTCCGCCTTCGGGCAGCAGTTCCTCTTCAACCTGACGGCCAGTTCGGCCTTCATCGCCCCGCTCTTCACCGTCAGCCTCCTGGGAGAGCCCGCCGCAGACCAGCGGCGCCTCTACGCCGAGGCGGCCGACGCCGATGTGAAGCACTGCTTCTACCGGGGGCACGTCAACGCCCGCCCTCGGCTCACCGCCGTTATCAGCCTCTGCTCCGGGATGGTGAGACCCCCGCCCCGCGGAGGGCCAGGGGCGGAAGCGGGGAGGAGGAGGAGCGGGACGAGGGAGGGAAGGTGGGCGGGCAGAGGGATGGCGGGCGGGCAGAGCGACGGCGCCCGCCCCTTCCCCTCCGGCCCACCGCGGCCGGGGGTTGCCGCTCTGAATCGGTCGGGTTCCGCGGGGCGCCGCTCCTGCTCCGCGGATTTTGGAGGGAAAATGCCATCCACCGACACCCGGAGGGGGCGGTCCGCGGGCCAGACCCGGGCACGGACCTCGCCTGCCCCCGGGGGTGCCGGTGAGCGGTGGCTGCGGGCTTAGCACCAGCGCTTGTCCCGGAGCCACCCAGCACCCGGGACATGTCCCGGTCCCTGGTACCCTAGCTGGGTGCCCTTCGGTGCGGCGATGTTGGCACCGGGATGCGCAGAAGCTCCTAAAAGGGCTGACTCTTCTGTCTGTCCTGGTGCCTTTCAGTCCCACGGGGTGCCAATCCCAAGGGCTCCCTGGAGGTTTCTTCTGGCTTCATTCAGTCCAGGGGTTCCTCTTGATGCATGTGTTCACCTAGGCTTGGGCACACGTGTATGTGGCTTTCCTCCCTGAAGGGAAGGGATGGACACCAGTATGGGATGGCTGCAGAATGTTTTGTCTCGGAAATTTTTTTTTATTTACCTACCAAATATGTGCATTCATAGTTGTATGCAACTAGGAGCTTTGATGGTATAATCAGGGATTTCACTAGCTGGACAACTTCCTCTGGTCCTTACATGTTGGTTATAAGCCTGTCTCATGGAAACGTGCTGTGTGAAACCAGCACATGATGGGGTTGCACTGGGGCCTCCAGCACACAGCATCCTTTAGGTAGAACTGGCTTGTAAATGTCACTGGCATTAGAACAGGGTCTGGTGGACATGCCTCTCTCGTGCTCCCTGCCTGTGGGTTAGTAATTAGCCCTCTGTAAGCACCAGTGGGATGGCGGTGCAGCCCAGGGTGGATACAAGCAGTGTAACCAAAGCTGGAGCTCCAGCTTTGCCTTCACAGGGTTTACCACAGAACTAGGCACACCTCCCTCATTAACTGCTTGCTTTGTGGGGTAGTGCTGCCAGGTGGCTTCTCATCGCGCAAAGCTGACCTCCTGTTCCTCTCTCTGGTCCCCCTCAGCTAGGCACATTCAAGTCTGATGATGGGGACTATTTTGTAGAGCCACTCCTATCACTTGAGGAACAGGAGTATGAAGAAGAGCACAATAAACCACATCTTGTCTACCGACACCGGACACCTCCAACCAACTCTTCAGGGGACTGGCAGACTTGCAATACTCCAGGTACTCATTTTCTTACTGCCTTGATGACTCGATACTTGGAAGTGCTATTTGCAGCTAAAAGGCAGTAGGTTTGTGGGGAAAAAAAGGGATGTGGAGTTGAGGGACCCCTCTAGAAATGGTGCTGTGAGTGCTAGGACTGGGCTCGTGGCGCTAGCGCTGTCCTGGAGAGATGTGGTGCACCCATGCTTTCTAGGAATTGGTTATAAGGAAGTTGCAGTCAGAAAAAAGTTTCCCTTTGATTCCTGATATAATGCTGGCAAGAGAGCCATCTGTCTTGCCTTAAGTATCCTGTGAGCCCTTAAACTTGTTTTCTGTTCTATCCTACCAGCCATCCTAATCTGATATACTCTCTGTCTGATACTCTGTCCTTTAAAGGACATCTGTCTTAGTCTTGCTGTGCTCCTGGTCTTCTTTCCCCAAATCTGGCTGTGAGTTGCCACGTCTTAACTTCTTTCTAGTGGAAATGAGGAGGTCCTAACACCAACCCTGACAGTTCTTCCCGTAGTAATCACTTTTCCATGGTTCATTTTCAAAGGCTTTTTTTTTTTCCTCACGGCCCTTCCTCCGCCAGCACCATCTCTATGACCTCCTCACTCCCTCTTTCTAGTCCTTGCACATATGAAAGAGCACAGGCCTTTTTCTCTCCCCCTTCATGTGCCTTGATGAGCAATAGCCTTGCTCCTACTGTCCCTATTATCTGCAGTGGCCTCCTGCTGCTCTCTGCTTCCTTGACTTCCTGATGTTCACAACTAATCCTCCCCTTTGGCAGCAAATACCTAAATTTTCTCTGAAGAAGCTTATTCCTTCTGTCTCCTGTTTCACCTGTGGTTTTGCTCTCCTCCTTTGGCCTGCAGCTAGATCTACAGTAACTTTAAAGCCTAAACAGAGTAGACCTGGACTGAGTTTCCTTGTGGGCTGCAAGCTGCTCATTTGCTGCAAAGTAGGTGGAGTTGTTCAGGAAGTAAAGATACACTAGAAGAGAAGTATGGTGCCCAAATTAGGCTGCAGTTAGCACGTGTTACTTGTTTGGCATCCATGACTGTGGATCCTGGCTGTGCTGTTGAGCTGTCAGTCTGTTCAGCTTGCACTGATCATGCTGACTCCAAAGATGCTGTGATACTCTGTGACCAGCCAGAGCAACATGTGTTTCTTCTAGAAGACATGTGAATCCACCTCCACATGCAAACGTATGTACCAGGGGTACAGTGGCACCTCTCACAAGGCTGTCATTGTTTGTTCTTCCAAGGGTTGCTGCTGGAATATGCCATTCTGGTTTCTCTCTTCCAGCTGTTTCTGCTCCCTTCTTTGAGATCAGATGCAGGAGACTCAGAACAGTTGGAAAGAAACACGGAATCTGGCACATTGCATCAGTAACCCTTGGAGGAACGGAGCAGCAGATCACAAGACTCATTGAATCAAAGGTAGCTGGGAGGGCTCTGAATTTTGCTTGTGAACTTGACTCTATGCTGCTGTAACAGACTGCTGTATTTCACCCCACTGTATCATAGTTTCCATTTAGGATATTATTCTTCTGTATTGTAATTCACAAGAATAACACTCCCATCTGTGATTTTACCAATGTGCTGTATATCTCTTCCTCCTTTGTTCCAATATGCTTTGCTTCTTGCTTGTCTTTGTTTTCTTGATCTTCTCAGTTGCTTCATGTAGTGGTGGGAAGAGTTCTCACCTCTCACAAGCTTAAGTGTTCCAGATAGGCATGAGAGTCTTGTCTTCCTGTCCTCTTTCCCTCCATCTCTCCCTCTTTACCGTCTCTCCTTTTTGTCATGGTCCAAGCTTTTGAAAGGGAATGATGCTATGGCCATATGTGTATGGTGAACAAGTCTTGGTTATTTCATTTAGGAGCAAGTTCAGAGCAGCTTGGGCAATGCTGAACCTTGGTATCCTACCTGAGGTTACATCTGGTGAGAGAAGGTATCTCACATGTCTTTGCAGCAGAGGTGAACGTGCAAAAACTGGCAGCACTCACTGTTTTAGACAAGGTGTATCTCTCACTCCTGCCAGAGAAGAATGGCTTTGTGAGAGTTTGGGAGTTAGTCATAATTGTAGGGTGTTGTGTGAATTCAATCTTTTGTCAGAAGAATCTGTGAAACAGTGCATTTGCTTTGCAGGCTTCTGGCAGGGGTGGAAATTTGCTTGAAGAGGAAATTCATGGGAGGGAAATCTAAGATACCCCCTCCTGGGGTGAGCAATGTTGCCAGGCAGTGGTGCTATTAAGAATGACTTTCTGATAGTCATCTTCCTGGAAATGATTAATAGTCAACATACTGGTGTGCCCTTGCCATAATGATGTAATTTTAGACTTCTCGAGGTATTCAGGAGTTTCCCTTGTGAATTGGCTAACAGATTGAGTAAAAGCTTTCATTTGCAGCAGTCTCCCTGGTACTTTTAGGTTTCAGTGTCCTGAAGTCAGCTTAGAAAACCAGGTATTTGCTTTTGTTAAGTTTTTTTTTTAACTTTTTGTTAAGTTTTAAATTAGCAGTCTCTGATAACAATTTTAGATCCTCTGACATAAAAGATACTCTGCAGGTGTTCTGGAAAAAGATCTTTTTCCTCTGAATGCTGATGGATATCAAATGAAAGCTGTGCTCTGCAGATGAACTTTCACGGCACAGCACTGGGGTCTCTGGCAACGCATTTCAGCCGTCTGGCATACAGCTCAACTGCCACAAGAAAAACTTTGGACAGAGTTTTCCTTGGGGTAACAGGTTAATGTAGTTTCAGTCGTAGGAAATGGTGCATTTTCCTCTCCTTCTTTTCTTTTAGTTAGTGCCGTGAATCAGTTTGTCATCTGGCCAGGGATCTGGCAGAATAATTAGTTGTGTTTTACTGGATGAGGACTTGGCCAGGCGGACAGCATGATGTCACTTAGGTGCAGCACCACTACCACCCATCGCTTCAGGATAGCAAGCTCTTCCGACCCAATTATTAAATATCCGCTTTTTTGAGGTGGAGGAGGAAGAGAAAAGAAATTGCGATCCTAACAAAAGAAAAGAGGAAGTGGCTCATTGCAAGGCTGGAGAGCGCCGCTTTCCTGCGCCCCACGGAGGAACAATCTGACTCCAGTGATAAAGGCGCGGAGCCGCATCCTGCATCCGTGTGCCTGCTGCCTTCATGAGGCCGGCAGCACCTCCCCAGGCCCCCATCCAATGGGACCTTCTGCCAGGAGCAGACCCATGAACCCTTTCCATGTGAAACCATCAAGGTTTGGTCCTGCAGAGATGCTCCAGATGCTAATGGGATGCTGCCTTTGGTCATCACTTAAATAAATCACTTCAGGCACCTCTTGCTCTCGGGGTGTCTAGCTCCAGATGCCAATGGGACACTGCCTTTGGTCATCACTTAAATAAATCACTTCAGGCACCTCTTGCTCTCGGTCTTATGTCCATTTCTGCTGCTTCTCCTTTCTGTCGTGTTTCCCATGCTTTTTGTCAGTGATGTGTATATATATATGTATT